AGGCCACAGCTAGCCTGTCCGAGGCCACGCAGCCTTGGCATGGCCTGGGCTGCCACGTACGGTGCTAGCAGCCGAGGCCAGCCTCTTCTTTTCTAGGCTTCCGAAGGCGACGGCCCCCCTCAGACGCTTCTCGGCGCCTCGCAGAGTGCAACCTTATTGGCATTGGCATCTCCACCTTTGTGGGCTTTAGCACAGGCCACAGTTAGCCTGTCCGAGGCCACGCCTAAGGCTAGAACACCCATCTTCTTTCCGCAGACGGGCAACCACCGGAACGACACTAACGCCTTCAGTTACACATGCTACACTCCTCTTGAAAAGGGGTCGGCGGCACCCGGGCGAAGCCCTTACAATAAATGTATGTTCTACAGTAAATAGCAGTTCTACAATGTATGTATGTTTGGAAGCTTCTACGTCCTCCAGTTCTGCACCCGAGAAGCTCCACGCTACTCCATTCACTGCTGCAATACCTACAGACTGTAAACAATACTATCTGTGTGCTGTTGAATGTTGGCGCGAAATGGTGCAGGCAGGATCTCGCATATTTACAGGATGGTGTCTCTCAACAGGAGGAGCGGTCACCTTTGATAATATACATTAACGAGTCCATTCTCCCTCCTTGGTGTGTCCATGTGAGTTAGCTCCTATTCATCGCCGAATGGAGTCATCGAACGCCGCGATGGCTGTGCTTTCCAATTGGCGATGTGGAAGTTGTTGAAAGCAAAGTGAGGTTCCATTGGAACTCCCGTGTCCCATACCCGATTTCTTTGCAAGGGAAAAGTTAGGAGAACCTTTGGGGCTGTGCTGTTGAAACACCCCCTCAGATGTGGAGGAGATGTCACCAATGAACATGCTTCGAGGTTGCCGGGTGGTTTTTAGTGTCCTTGCATGTCTTCCATGTCCTCCTTTCATGGCCAAATGGACCCAGTAGGTCATGAACAAGAAATGACATACACCTTCGACCATCACCTCCCTTCGACCACGGCCATTCACCTGCTCCGGCCTCGCACTCGGGAGCCCAACGGCCTCCAATCCTGGCATTGCCGTGCGCAGCAACCCTGGCATAATCTGGCTTGTACGTAACTATATACATCACTCCCCTCGCATCAAGCAAGAATAACATGCGACCAACAAGTATAAAGTCAACCAATAAGCGGAGTTTGGTATACTTATTGCAATATGGGTGTGTTGCGTCTTGAAATTTTGGAGCCCCAAACCAGAACACTTTGTTCCAGATTGTCTTGTGTCAAACGGATTTGGGTGGTTACTCATTCTGATCTACCACTGCAATCGCTTCACCGAAAGAATAAACATAGAACCATGAGGATCGAAACCCTGGTCATCTGATGAATTCCATGGATCAGCCACCAATGTGAACATGTTTGGGCAAGTTCCCTTTTGATCGATCGACGAAGGACTCGCTCGCCTGGCAGTTGCCAATTGATCAAGTGCCAGATCCGATCCATCTGGACCTCGGCTGGTGATGTTGCTGAGGGGCCCCGTCCTCATCGGGAAGAGTAATTGCCCCAGCATTGCCTGATGCTGTTGAACCACAGCTCAAACACCTCGCTATCCAACACAACGCGTTTTCCATTCGGGCTATAAAGCAAGACTTCTGAACACGAAAAAAATGAAATGTGTTTAACCAACTGCATTGTATAGCCAGCTAGATTTAAATACAACAACTTGCACAAGCAAGGAATATCCAGCAACAAATCTGTGAACACCAGAAAAGAAATCGCCGTCATAGCCAAGGACTTGGACCAACGAGATCCCCGATACTCTGGTCGCGGCGAAAATGCAAAGTCTTCCGCTGCCATCCAGGCGCACCTGGAGCGGAGCAACAAAGCTCGGATCAATGGCATCGCGGCATCAGCACAAAAAGCTTCTTTGGGGCCCAACAGAATACCCAACCAATGGATTTCTCCCAACGAACAGGCTGTGCTGGAGGTCTTTTGCAATAGGGAGTTCTTCCATTTCAAGAACAAACTTACATGTGGAACGTGCCTCAATAGTTAGAGAACAAAGGAAAATAGTGAACGGACCAGTGAAACACATATGTGCTAAAGTGAAGCAGTTAAACTCTTGATCCCACAATCATGTTGGATTAAACAACTAACCACACAACAGCACCCTAAACAATTTCGACATGACCCCCGTCCAAGCAACTGATGTCAAAATAAATACTTGCGACTCTATAGTGACTTATTCCGACTCTTCCTAGTCAGTCGCGCAGGCGCCTCCACAAGACCAAACCGATGATCCGCCCTGGGGCTCCCGGTCGATCGGTGTCGGTCGGTCCCGGATCGACCGAGTAGTTCGGCGGACGGGTAGGAAGGCCGGGTGTTTCTCGGAGTGACTTCGGTGTGGTTTCTTCTCATGAACACGAGTTCAAGTCTGCTGATTTCTTTTTGTTGCCACTCTGATTTAGATCATCTTTAGATCATCAAGTATGATAGGACCATAGGGGAAAACACTCCATCTGTGGAGAACCTGTGGCGCCTGAGCCAGTAGACTCAAAACATTGCCATGATGTTAAAATCCACCAACCTTGCGCCATCTGACTCTCCCAGGAATGAACCAGTCAGGATCGATGAACCACTCAGCAGACTGCCTGCCCAAATCTGTCAAGTCTTCGGAGGGCCTCAGGCCTGAGCGATCGCAGGTGACCACAATGGTGACCGCAGCTATCTTGCACTCAAGCTAGGGCGGTTCAAAAGCCACTTACCTCCTTGAACCCCCCCCTGAATATCCCTGAATCATTTCATTATGCATATTTCAACAAGGGGAAGGCTTCTGACCCCCGGCCCCAGCATGATCTGCCTTCTTCCCCGTGAATCGATGGCTCCGGAAGACTCATGTGCGATTCTTCCCCCCAAACGAAATGCATCATGAGCGAGATAGCCCGAGCAAAAACGGTTATTGAGGTCGTTTCAGTTTCGCAAGAGAGTGAACAAAAATGAAAAGTCAGGAGTCAACAAGGCAGCAGCTTCAGAATCTTACTTAGCACATCCTTGCTGTGTCAAGACATTTCAAGTCGATCCATGGGATCGTGAAGCACCTCAGTTGCGCTCCAAGGGAGCCAACTCTCAAAGAATAGTTAGTATCGATGGCCCAACCTAATAGCGATGACCTCCACCCTACCAGCAATGGCCTCCACCCTACTAGCAATGGCCTCCACTACATACTAGCAATGGCCTCCACTGCCTCCACCCTACTAGCATTGGCCTCAACCCCACTAGCAATGACCTCCACTACATACTAGCAATGGCCTCCACTGCCTCCACCCTACTACTAGCATTGGCCTCCACCCCACTAGCAATGGCCTCCACTACATACTAGCAATGGCCTCCACTGCCTCCACCCTACTAGCATTGGCATCCACCCCACTAGCAATGGCCTCCACTACATACTAGCAATGGCCTCCACTGCCTCCACCCTACTAGCATTGGCATCCACCCCACTAGCAATGGCCTCCACTACATACTAGCATTGGCCTCCACTGCCTCCACCCTACTAGCAGCTAGCATTGGCATCCACCCCACTAGCAATGGCCTCCACTACATACTAGCAATGGCCTCCACTGCCTCCACCCTACTAGCATTGGCATCCACCCCACTAGCAATGGCCTAGTTATATAGTAGCGAATTAATGTGGCTGTATCTTGTGCGGGAAACTGCGCTAAACATCGCTAAACACTCCCCCGCGACCGCTTCGCTCAGCGGGTGACGGGAGCCGCTCCTCTGGCGCCCTGGAGGGTCTCTCGGTGGGGGCGGTGGGTCCGTGGGGGTGGTTGGTTTCTGTGGCCGGGAAGTCTTTGGTAGCCGCTTTGCTTGAGGACAAGCTACATTGAATGCATATATGTGCAATGAATCCTCTATAGTCCTCTTCTCCACCCAAAGGTCTCAAGTTATCGCGAGGCAGCTCTAATTCCGACGACCCAGTTTGAGTACTTTGAAGCCCTTGGTCACCAGTGTTGTTGTCTGACAAGGGGCAATCCTAGTTAAAGTCCTCCGACAAAAATCAAGGTGTCTAATTTACCTTTGATTCCACATGAGTTCAAAACACACACGCATAAAAACAAAAAAAACATGTTCTTGTTTGCCATATGAGTGTGAGTGTTGCTTCTTCTTGGGATAGAGTGGACAAGAATTGCACAGAAAAACAAACTGTGATCCCCGATAATAAACAAACCTCATTTAATTTGTGGTTCTGCTTTGTTCATGTTCTTCGTGAGTCACAAATCACACAGACAAAGACCTGTAAACCCGGTCTACCCACTTCGCCCCCAGTCTACTCAAAAGCACGAAAGGGCTCCAGCACAGTGCCTCAAGAAGTACCTTGGTTGGAACAATGGGCCCCTTCAAACGCCCTCCCTTCTTCTTGAAACGTAAGGCAGGTGCCCTTCTACCACGTTAGGTTGGTTGATTGATTGGCATGAAATGACCAACGAGTGGGCCGACGGACTCCAATGAGGCTGATCACATCCAACGAGGCTGGATCTCCTGATCTGTGGCATGTGCTCTAGTTCCGAGCGAAAAAGATCTGATATTTCAGGTCACCCAAACAGCAATGGTTTCAACTACATGTTTATAATATAGAAGAATTTCACAGTTCTAATCAGTTCTACCTTTCGTTGACGCCGCCTGTGAGATTTGCCTCAGCTCATCCATGGGGTTCCTCCGGGTTCCTCTCCTCCCCTCTAAGCTCTGGACCAACTTGAGATGCCGAGTCCAAGAGAGCACGTAATGGCCAAAGCACAGGAGATCGACGCCTGGCGCGCTCCGCAGCAAAGCCTAACAAAGCCTAGCATACTTCGACCCTCCAAGAAAAGAATCAACGACACGGGTGTGTTCTGGTGTTTTGAAACTAGGCCGTGATGCGAATGTTGTTTGAATTTTTGTGTTCTGTCCATATTCAAGAAATAATTCCAGGATCTTTAGGTTCAGGTATCTGTCAATCGAGCCAATATGAATACCCCTCGATTTCAACTTGTTTTCGAGTGCTCTTTCCTTGAAGTTCAAACATGAATGTTGGGACTGAAAAGATCGGAAAAGTCATGGACTCGTCATGGACTGGGGCTCGTAGCCAAAGAGCTTTGGGATGACTGGGGTGTCATCTAGTCGACTTGAAAAACGAGCACGACGGTGCCCACTTTGCTTGAAAAGCCTCAAGAAGGACACCGCGCGGACAACGCATCACCACACGCGCGGGCGCAGCCTCCAGGGGCTCCTGGGCCTATGGTGCCAGTGAGGAGCGGCATGTCAAGGAATCTGGGGCATACTTACTGGTCCATACAGTGCACACATTGACATCAGTATACTGACTCAAACACTGAAAGGACAACAATTGACAATTGTCTGTGACAGTGAGAATATGTGAGAATGCCTTTATTCAACATCTGAATGCATCTGATGTATCACAACGATTGGCGGCCAATCTTCCAGCGGTCCAAATAAAGTGATGTCAGGTCAATGAGCGGTACAGTCGTTGCTACCTTTGGCAAACACAACATGTCCATTGCAGGTGAAATGGGTGTTTGCTGGTGTTTCTTTACTCTTGGAGGTGACATCAGCTGTTGCCGGGTCTACAAAACCGCTGGACGACGTTTTCCGACTTCACCCCTGAGGTGGGTCCCGACTCCAATTCGCTGACTGTAGCTGATGCGTTCGCGTTCGTGGAAAACAAGGTGAGAACTGTGTCGTTCTCAATCACCCACGCTGGTACACTGGGAGACCTGTAAAGCCATGTACTGCCAAACATGTGGCTACTTCGTGGTCTTTCTTGGGCTAGCTAGGAGGACTGCTAGGAGGCTATAGTTCATTTCCGAGAAACTTACCAAGTAAGTGCGCTGTAGGAATAGCTCACTCCATTAAATGCCCGTTATCGAAGGTACCCCAAGAAATGCACGTTTTGCCTGGAGCCAATGGTAACAAAATCGCATCCCAAGACCTAAGAAGTCTGCCGCATGGGAAATACCGAACGAGTCTACTATTCGGTGATCCAGCCTTTGCATGCCACAGCAAATGGCTAGTGCCTGCCAGATAAATGAGCTCAGCGCACACATGAATATGTTTAAAATGCAGCTAGGAAAACACAACATAATAAGGCTGAAGAGGTAACCTTGCATCTCAATTCGCTTTTGAAGCTTCCAGTCCGTCGATCTCTTGAGCATCTGCCTCGAGTCAAGCGTCGGCATCCGTTCAGCATGTCGCGACCAGCGGATCGGTGTGTTCAGCGAATCAAACTGATGAGTTTCTTGGGGCGAGCTTCGTCGCTTCTTCGACAAGGGTCCAGTCACTGGCTATCGATCTCCCATAGGACCCAGGAGTCCTTTTTCTTGTAAGTGGTGTGACGGACTGAAGGGTTGTATGGGAGCTCATGACATAGACATTTAGAGTAAAACTTCTTCGCTTTCATCTTTCTGAGCTCTTTCAGCAATCCTGGGCAAGTTCCTAGTGTGAACTTGACCTGCACGGCATCGAACTTGCATGGCCAAGGCTTTGACCGGAATGTGAATCTAATTTTTAGTATCGTGTATCCATGCTGCCTAAAGTAAGCATCAGCTGCTCTCTTTGGAGCTTGAGCAAGAGCAAATGATGTGTTGGATTTGACCGTTTAGCTGTGGATGTTGCGAATTTAGAAGCAACACAGTTACTTGCGTGATGAAGCAGGGATGTCCTAAGCTGCCCTTGCCCTGCAAGTCCGCAGTTCGTCATGGGCAACTGATGGCCACTACAACGGAAACTTGGCAGCTACAACACTTGTAGAAAGGCCACAACTTGAATCAGCAACCTCCAAAGGCTATAGCACTGATGGCAATCCCACAAGCTGATTTCTTTTTGACAGCCTTCTCCAGGAAACTAGATCTTCACCAGCCACATGACTTGTCTGCACTTCTGATGGAAGAAATTCAGTACCACCAGCTTCGTGAAAAACACCATGATTCATAGCACAACCTGTTCGCTCCCAACATTCACCCGATCGTTCTTTTTTGAATAAACATCAAGAGAAAAACCGTGCCTTCCGGATCCGTAGCTGTCTTTCTGTCTCCCCATGGTCACCGAAAGGATCGGCCTGGCAGCTCCCGGAGCGCCAGCAGCTCCTTCCGGACGTCCACTCCGCCGACCCAGGGATGTGGGCCACGAGCCTCGGCGGAGCGCCACCCCGACCACAGCGGAGAGTGCAAAGGAACTCAGCGGGTTGGTGGAGGAGGTTGGGCGGAGGTGTTCACCGTGAATATTCATGTTGAGGATCAAACAGTTGTTGAGGTGTTTGGTCAGGGGAGTCTTAGCCATGGATCTGATGTCAGAGTGTATATACTGTCTTGAAATGGTTCAAAGGTCCTCTTGGCATCTCTTGGCTACAACTTTGTGAATCAATTCATTATAGCACTATGTCAAAATGTTCTTCCTGGGTCCTTCTTAGTACTTCAACCTTTAGCGACGTCTCCTCCACTCAAGCAACCAACAGAATCTCTGTGTTCCAGGGTCAAGAGTCAAGAGATGTTACCAACAGCCATCAACGGCCTAACAGGCCAGTCTTCCGAAAGATCTACTCCGTCCCATCGAAGAGCACGACCCGCGACCTTCCAACTCTAGGGACGCCCCACCACATCGGCACGCCCGAAGAAGGCGCTCAGGAAGCGGCGCTCGTGGAGCGGCTTGGACTTCTCCAAGGCCGCAATGACCTGGCCAAATCGGCCGTGAGCGGTCTTTTTGTGCCCAAGGAATCCGCGTGTTGTTTTTATTTAACAAACCCATCCAATCATAT